ACTATCTCACCATATCGACATCCTAATAACAATCTCACCATATCGACATCATAGGGACAATCTCACCATGTCGACATCAGCATCACAACCTCAGTATGTTCACATGAGCATGACAATCTGATGTTGATAGAAATCTCGCCATGTCGACATCAGTATTTCAACCTCACCATTACAATCTCACCATTCTGACATCAGCATTACAACTTCACCGCGCTGGCATCCTAATGACAATCTCTGCATGCAGCATCCTAATGTTAACCTCACCATATCGGCATCATAATGACAATCTCACCATGCCAACATCAGCATTAACTCACCAGGACGACTTCAGTATTTGAACCTCACCATGTCAAAATCAGCATTATTTCACCATGCTGACATCCTAATGACAATCTTACCATGATGACATCATGACAATCTCACTGTATCAACATCATAAGGGCAATCTCGCCATGTCGTCATCAGTATTTCAGCCTCACCATTACAATCTCACCATTGTGACATCAGCATTATCTCACCATGCTGACATCCTAATGACAATCTCACCATGAAGACATCATAATGGCAATCTCACCATATCAACATCATAAGGACAATCTCACCATGACGACATCAGTATTTCAACTTCTCCATGTTAACAAGCCAATTTATATAATACAATCCCACCATGTTAACAAGCTAATGACAGTCTCTCCATGTTAACAAAGCAATGACAATCTCACTATGTTAACCAGCTAATGACAATCTCACCATGTTAACAAGCCATTTACAATCCCACCATGTTAACAAGCTAATGACAATCTCACCATGAAGGGGTGGAGAGAGATGACTGAAGGAATCTGATGAAAACACATCTTCTTTTAATTCCGTTACTTTCGAGCTGAAACAGAAACACTCCATTGAGACACTGAGTGTTGTAACATATCCCCCCCGGATTCCCCCCACAGAAACATACACATGATCCAAGGATGTCAAAATGTGGATGCCTTTCCTTCACTTATTCCAACACTACCTGTAAAGGTGTCCTCCCATTTGTGAGAACTCCCAGTTGTGAGACACATTAATTAATGGTTCAGTGCACACAGGTGGTGCTTCCCCATCCCTACGATGAAAGTGGGAACAGCCCTGCTGCTGAAGAGTCCCGCAGGAGGCATAGTTCATTAATGAGCATTAAAGAGCATTTATTGTTTTCAATGAAGAACAAGTTAAATACTGAAATACTGAAAAAGATTATCATTATATTTACACAAAAGAAATAGTTCATTAAATATTTCATTGTGATTTTTGATTCACACATTTTGATGATTTGCGTTATATGATGTTTGTGCGTCATTATAAAACACTTTTTTACATGGGTCCATGTTTGGAGATTTTGACACTTTTCATATTGATCACGAAGTTACCTACACAAAGTGTTTATTTTTTAAAGCCATTTACCTCAGTAGGTTAATTACTTTATCTTTTAAGCTACCTCCACAAGATTCCGTTAAATAGATAATCCCTAATTAGCAGGGGTTAATCCATTCTATCAGATAGGGGAGTAAGGTGTGTTTTCTTTGGTACTTACCTACTCCACTGTCTCACAACTGACTTTCCTTCACTTATTCCAACACTACCTGTAAATGTTAGGGTTGGGTATTGCCAACATTTTTGTATTGTGATATATTGTGATACAGTACAACCAGAAATTACTGAGAATTTAAAGATTGTAATTTTAGAAAAAAAAATTCACTCACTACTCACATATTAAATGTGAATATTAGCAGAACATAACTCCAGATTCAAAGACAGGTGAACAGTATTTTGTCAAGTCACCATGGGCAGCAATGCAGGCTTCAATGCGCCGGGCCATACTACTGATCAAGGAAATTAGAAAGTCATTGTCCACGATGTCCAAATATATCGACCACCTCTTCTTTCATTTCAGCAATATTTGTCAGATTTTTCGTATTGACACTTTCCTTCATAAGTCCCCAAACATTTTCTATTGGATTTAGGTCAGGGCTATAGCTTGGCCAATCTAATAATGTCATATTTTGGGTCCGAAACCAGGCCTGTGAAAGCTTTGAACAATGTTTTGGGTCGTTGTCCTGCTGGAAAATCCAAACAAATTCCATAGAACACGTGAGCAGATGGAAGTAAATGTCCCTCGAGCATATCTGTGTACCACTCACTGTTCATATTCCCTTCAAATACACAGAGGGGCGTTGCCCCTGACGCACGTTAAATTTCGGACTGTACTTTGGGCGCTGATACAAAGGTTTTTCAGTTTGTTTGGTCCAGAATTTCAGTGTATTAGGAAACAGCCACACAGAACTTTCATCTGAGAAAATCACATTGTCCCAGTTAAAATTTCTATGCTGTAAGCACCAGTTCAACCTTCGCTCCTTTTGTTCAGGTTTCATGATCGGTGATGGAATTCCTCGACTTTTCTGCCAACGCATTGCATGCAGCTCAGTTCTAATTGTCTCCTTACAGACAGCCACAGTTCCTCTGTCAATCATATCAAGCCTCAAGCTTTCTAAACTCCTTCGTTTGTTTTTAGAAACAAGAATACCAAGCCGCCTCCTGTCACCGACAGTCAATGTTCTGGGCCTACCTGCGCCTCCCTGGTGCTCAATGGCAATGCCATATCCATTTGCAATAATTTTCAAAACACGATAAACAGTGGACAAAGGGATGCCTGTTCTACTTGAAATCACTTTAGCTGATCTGATGTCCTTGTCATAATACTCTAAAATCAACTTCCTCTTCTCTAAATCATCCATAATGAGGATCACTGAAAATGTCGTCTGCTAGCAAGTAAACAAAGGGAGATAACTCTTCACAAACTAATGAAAAATGATTAACGGAGTGTCTCTCTTGAATGAAACCAAGCACTTGATAGCTGGTCAAGGTTGTTTATACTAGAAATCCAATTAAACATATACCTAAAATTCTCAATAATTTCTGGTCATACTATATGTGTTTGCGTATTACAATATTTATCGCAATATAATGTGACAGTGTAACACATGGTTTAAGATAATGAAATTACTGTTTCCTTTCTTTTGAAACAATGCCACTGGCCACTGTCAGGACTCAGATTAGTATAGATTGCACAAGAGATCAATTGAAAATGAACTGTTTGCGAGGCATTCTAGAAGTTGTTAAGCAATAGTAATGACAAATGTTTATTGTTGATCAACTTCTTTATTGTTCTATTGCGACGTTTTGGTATAGGTGCTTATACCGTTTATCCTATCACTTGAAAATGTTTCTAAATTGAAGACTCCGCTATAAAGTTTGGAACCCGAGGAAAAGCGGCGTCCCCTATTTTGGTTTGTTTATCCCAACAAATAGCACCGGAACCAATTCTATTATTTTTATTTATATGGTTTAAGAGTCACGCAAATGCAATTATATTACCAATAAACTTATCAAAACTATTAATGTATAATAATATGAAGGAAATACAAATGTTATTAGTATTTTTGACTTCATCACGAAAGACCTGTGAAGGTCCGGGTTAGAATATTGGCCTTCAGTAACGGTTGTCTCTCCAAACCCCTACAGCCCATAACCCCTACATCCCATAACCCCCACAGCCCATAACCCCTACAGCCCAGTACCCCTACATCCCATAACCCCTACAGCCCATAACCCCTACAGCCCAGTTCCCCTACAGCCCAGTACCCCTACATCTCATAACCCCTACAGCCCATACCTCTACAGCCCATAAACCTCTACAGCCCATAAACCCCTACAGCCCATTACCCCTACATCACATAACCTCTACATCACATACCCCCTACAGCCCAGTACCCCTACATCACATAACCCCTACAGCCCAGTACCCTTATAATTTGTAAAATCAACACGCTGCATTTACCTGTCGGGTAATGACCTGACACAAAGGAGAGATTACGGGGTGGAGTATACAGTGTGAGATTAAGCTGCACAGAGTATACGGATGCTGTTGTTGGTAGTGTTTTAATAATTCATTTTACATAATTGAGATGAATTAAATGCTGAACTAGGTTTTTTTAGCTTCCTGGTGTACATTGTAAGTAGACAGAATTTGCAAATCGTAATAATATCAATTGTAATAGTGTTGGAGATGAAGTTTGTGATGCATTTATTGCAGATTTTGCAAAGTACCAAGATAAAAAGTGAAACAAAATGGGGATTGTGAGGCTGGAACATGGTAAAAGCAATTTGCTTGAGGGTGACAGGTAATATGTTGAAAAATAAAACATAAAAACATTTCATATGTTATGATGTTATGATATTTAATGAACTTAATTAAACCTCAAGTTGAATATTATTGAACTTTTATTAAAATATTTTTGTTATCTTCCATTTTCACCATTATCTCAAACTCTTAGTTTCCTTATTGCTCATTGAAACGTTCTCTTGATTTCCAAGTGTTTGGAATGGTCCATTGTATGAAATAGGTAACAGGCAGGAGATTAGCAGTGCACTGGACCATGAACTTTGTCTTCTCGTAAGAGGCGACTAACGAGATCGGGTGGTCAGGCTCGCTGACTTGGTTGACACATGCCATCGGTTCCCAATTGCGCAGATCGATGCTCATGCTGTTGATCACTGGATTGTCTGGTCCGGACTCAATTATCTACAGACAGCCACCATATAGCTTGAATATTGCTGAGTGTGGCATAAAACTAAACTCACTCACATCACCAAAATTATCGATCATGGTCACGCCAATTGCCGATCGTATCGGGTGCCCGGTTTGCGAAAAGTGTACAGCAATATATCGTATTGTGAAGTTCAAATTGCAATATACCGGTTAACCGGTTTTATCTCCCCTCCCTATTAAATATGTCAGGCAGACATCAACGTAACCGGTTTTATCTCCCCTCCCTATTAAATATGTCAGGCAGACATCAACGTAACCGGTTTTATCTCCCCTCCCTATTAAATATGACAGGCAGACATCAACGTAACCGGTTTTATCTCCCCTCCCTATTAAATATGTCAGGCAGACATCAATGTACCTGACAACTTTAGGTATATCCAGATTGTATCTGAACAACGATGAAACAACCTGTCCGCCATGTCCACCCTTCATCTTCTTAGTCGTATTTCCGACATTGTCACCTTTTTGTTTCCTCTTTCTTGAATGCCCATAACCTGTCTGTGGTGTAGCAACCGCCTGTCTTGTATCATCCACCCGTCGTTAAGGTTGAGCGGTCCAATATCATTTGCAGCGGCCCGCAAATTTCTGATAACAGGAGGGCTGTTTCATGATAATTCCATGTATTTTAGCTATAAATATGTATATACTCTCTCAAAAGAATTTGCAATAAATCATTGATATCATATATATTGTCTTATAGCTAAAATACATGGAATTATCATGAAACAGCCCTCCTGTTATCAGAAATTTGCGGGCCGCTGCAAATGATATTGGACCGCTCAACCTTAACGACGGGCCACTATCCGTTCTGTTGTCAAGTGACGTCATAGTTGGTGCGTGGGCTTACGGTTTATTCGACATTGGCTTTAGACTGGCAGATATTCTTGGGCAAACAAGTCAAAGCAACCCGAATTCCCGTTTTAATTAGCGGTAATATTGGCTTTCTTGCTTGTGCTAACCTTAACAATTGCACTATTAACGTTGTTGTTGGACCAAAACCGAACACTGAAAACTGACGTTGTGTCTGACATAGTTTGACATGTTGCAAGCTATGGCCAAGGTCGAATATCGTCACGTTCCGTGTGACGTCACTTGAATTATTCGATGACGTAATTGCATTCGGTCAGTCAACCCTGTCAGAAGTTGGTTTTGAGTAAACTTACAGTCAAATTCCTTCACTGTTTCTTTTTGTCTTTTTAACACAAATTCCATGTATTTTAGCAATAATAACGGTAATGCTATTTGTGAGGGCATTATCATTTGCAGAAGCCCTCGATCTTTTTCAACTGCCCTCCTTCGTCGGGCAGTTAATAGACCATTCTTAATGAGGCCTCATGAATATTCATATCTGTACCAAAACGAGGCTAAACGGGGCAAGGACACAATCGCGTAATGGCGACCAATCTCAATGTTTACTTCCTGGTTTCATATTTCCCTTGAACGGTACATTACGAAACTGTCATGTAGTTCAGGGAAATCGCAGAGAAATGGGAAAGGGTTACACAAATGTTTCTGTAGCATACTCATGGATTGAAGGGTGAATAATTACTGTACTTCACAACACATCACGATAAGTCATATATGACCTAGATATCTAGGTTACGTTTACCATGTTGCGCAGCATTTATGAAGGGAAGCTACTCTAAAGTCACAATAGTGGAAATATTACCAAGGGAAGTCAATAACGTTTACTTTATCAACATATGAACAAAGCAAAAGACTAAACGTATTTCCTGACATGGATTCAAATCATCCGCTTCCACATGGGAGTAGTGTTGTTAATTCTTGAGCTGTATAATCGAGATTATAAGTAATATGCAGATCAAGATAGCTCTCCTCGATTGGATCTGGACCAAACAAAATTGTATTATTCATGTGATGAAATTATTTGTTTGGTATTGCTTCTATTAAAATGTTTGTCCTATCGACTCTTTTTTTATAGATATAGGGTATGTATTCACGCATTTATTTTTATCTGGTGATGGCGATGTGCGCGTAGCTGCATGTTACAATCGCAGAGGAAAAACGAAATCGCCCCATCATCATGTAGAAACTATTTCATTCAATCAGCATGAGTGGGACAAAATGTGCAAGACAAAACTGGATGATTTTTTTTCTTTCGTGACTGATTTGGAGGTATTTTACCGAAATGGACTTATGGTACCTGCATGTAGAATATTTGAAACACTTTTCAATACTGTGTTACTATACCATAACATTGATTTATTGTAGACCTTGTGCATTTATTCTGTACCACTGTAACTGAAGACCTTTTTAAGGAGAACATATTATCAGGTTAGCATAACAGGATTCACACTACAGCAAACAATTAACCTAAATAAATAACGAACACCTGGAGTGCAGTTAATAAAATTTTATTTTGAAATGGTGTCTTAAAAATCCAATAACAATAGACACATTCACAATAGCTTCCAAGTGTAACACTGATGAATAACAATAAAATTTTCTGAGGATGCAAATTGAAAATGTATTGGGTGCAATATTTATGTTGATAGAAATATCTTTTTTAGATTAGTCTGACATGAATGGCAACAATTACAGCTGGATCAATTCATAATTTATCATAGTTTTCTCCCCTTACACATTATCATAATCTCTTACCTGGTTTTTCTGGTTCCCAACTAACTCTTTTCAAACAGGATGAAATACATTCTTTTTTCATCAATTAGTAATTAAACAACAGCAAATGAGTTACATCTACAACTATGCCATTATGAAATACCTTTCTATTTTTCAGTGAAATCGATCACTGTGTATGTATAACAGCTGTCTCTTTTTTTCATCCATCATTTACACAACACAAAAGCATGAAACAATTTCATTTACATTCATGTCTGTCAATTCTTGTGCTGTTTGGGCAAGGTACTTCACAAAACCTGGGATGATATTCAACAAATGAAAAAGTTCCAGCTAATCACTGCCAATGTTTGAAATGATGGAATATTGTAATTTGTTCAATCATTTTCTATCATCATACATGAATTTACAAAGTCCAAACTTTTCAAGTTCAAGTTTTCTGTTCAATTCTTCTATTTTGTCAACCTTTTCCTTGAGTTGCCTCCCCTGTTCATGTAGTTTTTGATGGAGTTGTTCTATGTAGGACTGGGGTCAGTGGCAGCTGTATCACTCTCTGCTTCACTGTAATATAAGCATTGTAAAGCATTACTATTATCTCTTCGACCACACAAACAATAAATATATCTCTGGAATTACAAATATACATCAAGGAGTAGAGGCTAACATCATTTCATATTTTAGACGGTATGGGCAATGAATATTTTTGTATGTAAATAACATAGCATTATAAAGTTCAGTTGTATTTAATTCTTTAGAACCATGTCAGTTGGCAAAATTAACTTAATACGATCTGACATTCTTACTGTATCTGAGATGGTGACTGTGGTAGATTGCTTATGGGAGGTTCCTGAGCTGGTGACATGCTCTCTGACTCTTGATTTGCAGCATCTGAAATGGATATTTAAACACTAAATATGTGTCAGTTGTTGTAATTAGATTGTCCAGTAATATGTCCTGTATCCCTGAAGTACTGGTCAGCATGCAGTAATTTTGAAAGTACATATTTAAGATTTTTTAACAGCATGTGTGTGTCCTGCATATACATGTACTTGAAATGTTACTTTGATTTGCAGCCAATCAAATTTCACTGATACAGAATATTTGCAAATAAAATTCCCTTGCCATCATGACAAGAGTGTCTCCATATGTCCATATGCTTTAAAACAAATAATATAATGGACCGTTCACAATTTATGACTAGGGGGTGTGATGATGATTTTAGGTGCGGTGTTTGTTGGGGTTGGGTGTCTCCCAGTTTGTTTTGGGAGGCAGGGGAAGGGGTCAATTGTGTACATATGAACTAGGGGGGTGGTCACTGATTTTGAACATGACAATGTGTGTGTGTGTGTGTTAGGTTTGAATGTGTCTGTGTGTGTGACATTCACATTGTACATGTGTCCTAAATATTTAAACCTTGCATAGTGAACAGTTGTACATTTCCCGGCAGATCTAGACTATGCCATGTGCCGTAATTATTTTGTACTTACTATGAATCATTTTCGAGGATCTCTCCGAATTTTCGTCAACCACTGCCTTCTTCTGATCTTATTCTTGGGAATATGGTGAAAAGATACCGTACAATCCTTACGGGCATCACTCCAACGCAAAGGCACACAGCAGTCATCTCTCCTTTCCGAGGTCGCCATTTTCAAGTTTGGGTCAACCTATATAAGCCTCGCTTTCGATTTGACCTCGAGGTCATGCATATTGGCTAAGAATGGTCTATAGAAGACCTAGGGCTTCTGCAAATGATAATGCCCTCAAAAATAGCATTACCCTTATAATACAGTTCAGAACACTTTTTGATACGTTTATGGTGTGGTTATCATCTTAAAATTAAAATATGTAAATAGAATTATATATACAGTCTACTTTTCCTATTTCCCCATCAGTATATACTGTTCTATGTGTCTACCTCTCAACAGATACTTAATACTTAAATAAATCTGAGCATTATATATACAAATTACAATTAATGAAAATCTGTTTATACAGATTACCTTGGCCAGAAATTCCAATGTATTTCTATTTTCCTGTAAATATATTTTCACTGTGTAAATGTGGTGTATTAAGTTGCTTATATCATAGAATTAAATGGTAATGATCTTTCTTGTTTATCTGCTTTCCCTTTCAAAGTGAAGACTTACTGGAAGTCATCTTCGTGTTGATGATCATAACATACCAACATATGTTAATATTTGTTGATTTATTAAGCATGTATATTAACTCCAATTCATTATTTTTATCAGGCCCTTATCTCTCTCCGCTAGTGTGCATACCACTTTTGAGTCCCCATCCAACTTCCTGGTCACAATTTCCGCGAATTTGTACTTTCCTGGTCACGCGGCCTATGACTCAAGCCAACACTTCCTGGTCACGTGCACTATTGTGATCACTCGACAGGGGGTAAGTGTTTTTTGTCCTAGCAATAAATTTTCACATCAATAAACTATATAATGTTGATCTCAGCGAAACAATTTAATGTGAATCTCCTATGATTTCTTTGGTTTTCGTAATGAAAGCTTGTTGGGCTTGTTGATCCCTTGTTCTATGTACTTTTTTTTCTCGTCTTCACTGATGGTAGTGCTTTTACGAGACTTGGACCGAATCTCTTGTTTCATTCTGTGATATTTTGCGAGTTCAGAGATGACCAAACTCCTCCTCGGAGACTTTACTGTCAGTGAGTGCCGTGGAAATACGCTCACTTACCGTATTTCAGCGCTTTACGATGGAATCTGCGGGATGCAAACTTAAACACCAACCCTGACACCCCAGCTGTTATTTCAATGCCTAGCACTATAGGTGTGGCTACGATGGTGGTTAACAACCCGACTCCTACCGCCCCTAATCCCATGCTGGTTGCCATAAGGGTGGTATCAGCCCCATC